TGGACAGTGTCCCTTCCAGGTGACTCGGTTGGTCTAAACCTCCTCCAGCAGCTCAGCTGATCTCTGCTTCTTTCAGGTATCTGACTTAGCTTGGTCCGAGGGTCTTTAGAGCTCGGTTCCATTTAGTCCTTCTCAGCTTTTGTGGCTTACTGTGACAGGGAAAGGCCTAGTGAATCTGGTCAGTTTTTAGGGACTTCCTGAAACTAGTTTGTGTTGTTTACTTTCCTGCTTAAGGAGCTTCCCTGCAAGGTGGGATGTTTCAGTCCCAGAGAAAACTGTTATTCCCAAGATATAACAGAGGTAAGTATTATGGGCTGGCAAGGCCTTAGGTAGCCGAGGGAAAGTGGCTGGGAATGGTACTGCTGCATGTGACTGAACCGGGTGTTAAGTTTCCTAAGGCTGGAAGTGAAGTCAGAGTTTGGGAAACAGACTGAGCTGAGCCACTTCCTGCTCCTGTGACCTTTAGACCTCAGATTCTCCAGTGTTTCCTCTGCGAAAGTGGGGCTAGTCATATTCATAACTCAGAAGCCATGTACTAATTAAATAAGATGAGGTCCCCTATAAAAGCATGGTGGGGTGGGGCAGTGGTGGCACACGCCTTTAATCCCAGCACTTGGGAGGCAGAGACAGGAGGATCTCTGTGAGTTCAAGGCCATCCTGGTCTATAGAGTGAGTTCCAGGACAGCCAGGGCTATAAAGAGAAACCCTGTTTGAAAAAAAGAAAAGCACAGTGGAGCACATGTGATCTTAACACTTCAGAAACTGAGACAGGAGGAGCCCGGGCTCAAAGACAGTCTGGGATACCAAGCAAAAGCCTGTCTCAGAACAGCAAGCCAGATGGGTAGTGGTGAGCATCTTTAATCTCAGCACTCACGAAGCAGAGGCAGGAGCTCTGTGAGTTTGAGGCCACCCTGGTCACATAGTGAGTACCAGGAGAGCCCGCGCTAAGTAGAGAGACCTTGTCTCAAAAAAAAAAAAAAAAAGAGAGAGAGAATTATAAACATTATACTGAACTCCTGGTGCACAGAAAATTTATTTGCTCATATATTTATTGATAGACAGGGCCTTTTCTGTCTTTCTTTTGTTTGTTTGTTTGTTTTTTCAAGACAAGATTTTTCTGTGTAGCCTTGGCTGTCCTGGAACTCTGTAGACCAGGCTGGCCTCAAACTCAGAGATCACCGGCCTCTGCTTCCCGAGTGTTGGGATTAAAGTCCTGGGCACCACCGACTGGTTTGGGTCTTGTCTTATTGTCCCGGCTGGCCCTGAGTTCTAAACCCTCCTGCCATAGGTGGCAGAGCAGTCTGGGAGTCTGCTGTCACAGCACTTCTGCCGTCAGAATAAGAGCTCCTTCTGTGGAGGCGAGCAGGACTCTTTTGTCTCAACCCTTTAATGCTTTCTTTTTTCTATACTGGAGGTGGAACCCAAGTCTGTGCACATGCTTGGCAAAACCTGTCCGCATCCCCGTTTATTTTGAGACAGTCTCACTCAGTTGCCTAGGCTGGCCTTGAACATAAAATCCTCCTGGCCCAGCCTCCGGAGCGTCCACATCTGGCGATTGCTCTTATTTTTTGCCTAAGATTTTTCTCCTCCTTCTCCTTGGAACGCTCCTTGGTGTTAAATGGGGCAGGCCCAGAGCACAGGTGCAGGGGGGGTGCGGGTGGGGTGGGGGGGCACTGATGACAGAGATCTGGGCTTTCCTAAATCTCCACAGCCTGTTTACTTGTAGGGTGCTGTTCTTTCCCGATGCCTACAATACCTTTTGGTTTGGGTTTTGTTTGGGGCAAAGGTTTCTCTGTGTAACAGTCCTGGCTGTCCTGGAACTTGCTTTCTAGACCAGGCTGGCCTTGAACTCACGGAGATCCACCTGCCTCTGCCTCTGAGTGCTGGACTGGGATTAAAGGCATGGGCCACCACCCACTGGCTACAACGCCTCATTTATCTAGTCTTGCCTCTGTTCTTGAGGTGGAGAAATGTCTGGAAACACTGTCAGGCTGGAGACAACCTGCTTCCATCTACTTCTGCGGCGTGAGTCCACTTCTCCCACTGCAGCCCTTGATCTCTTCTTTAGACCTCCCTGCCCGGTTCCCCACAGTTCTGTCCAACAAGTGTGTCTGTGAGCACACCTCACTGGGCAGCTCTCAGGGGCTCCCCTAAGTTAACAGCCCGTGCCGTCTCTACTCCCCTTTATCTTCGTCTTACAGTATAGTTCTTGTTCACCCCAATGGTCCTCACTAGATAGCCAGGCACTTGACAAGATCTGACCGTTCATTTAACGAGTCTTTATTGAGTACTCCCTCTGTGCCAGGCGCTGTTCTAGATGCCAGTAAATACATCAGTGAACCAAGCAAACAAAAATCCTTGTTCCCCCTGCCAAGGAGCTTACATTCTACCTAGGGAGATGGAGGAAGACAGATAATACATACAACAATTAGAATAAATAAGTAAGTTGTATGGTCTGTTAGGTGATACATGCTGTTTTAAATACTCTGGAATCTGCTCAGTACCTGAATATAAAAGCACTCCTTTTCAATGTATTTGTAGTGCTAGAGATCACACCTAGGGGACTGCAGATGCTGGCCTCAAACACATGATTCTCCAGCCTCAGTATCCACAGGGCTGGGGTTATAGGCATGCATACATCAGACCCCTCGTTACTTTTTTTTTTCTTTTTTGAGAAGAGGGTCTCACTACGTAGTTCCGGCTGACCTGACTATGTAGACCACTCTGGCCTTGAACTCACAGAGATCTGCCTGCCTCTGCCTCCTGAGCACTGGAACTAGAGGCCTAGGTCCCCACAGCTCAGCTGGGAATTTTTTCTTTGAGACAGTCTTATGCATCCCAGAACTCAATATGTAGCTGAGAGCAACCTAGAACTCCTCATCTTCCTGCCTCTACTTCTTCCTCCCTCCCTCTCCTCTCCTCCTCTCCTCTCCTCTCCTCTCCTCTCCTCTCCTCTCCTCTCCTCTCCTCTCCTCTCCTCTCCTCTCCTCTCCTCTCCTCTCCTCTCCTCTCCTCTTCTCTCTCTCTCTCTCTCTCTCTCTCTCTCTCTCTCTCTCTCTCTCTCTCTTTCTTTCATACAGGCTCTCTATATAGCCCTGGCTGTCTGGAATGCTCTATGTAGACGAAGCTGGCCTGGAACTCACAGAGAGCTGCCTAGCTTTGCTGCTACAGTGCTGGGATTAAAGGGGTGTACCACCAGGTCTCCACTCCTTTGGCGCTGGAAGTACCAGCATTCAACAACCAGGCCAGGTTTATGTGGTGCTGAGTTCAAACCCAGGGCTTTGCGCATGCAAGGCAAGCACTCTACCAGTTGAGCTACATCCGCCCCTTCACCCCCAAAACTTTTGAAGGTTCTGTTGCGCTTTTTGCGTAACGCAATGTCCTGAGATTCAGCCAAAGAGGGTTGATGCCGCGCCTACTCTCCTGTCAGGAAGAGCACAGACCTTGGGTCCTGAGGAGCTGGGGACAGATGCTGACCGCAGGCCTTCTGTAGAGCAGCTGGTGGTAAGGCCTGGTGGGCATCCCGCTTCCATCCGCCTGGACCGAGAAACTAGCCAGCCACGGAGGAAGTGAGGGGTAGTTCCCCGGTTTGGCCACCAGGGGTCATTTTACCACTGTAAATCAGCAATCGAAGCCCTCCTAGAGACACAAAAGGCCCAAATCTTAACTGAGTCCGAAGTGCTTGGGAAATCTCTCTGTATTGGGAGACACAGGGACATAATGCTTCTAGGACACATACATGACAGTTCTCAATGTCAGCGTCTAAAAATGTCACAGCACCAACTCTGCAACCCCTCCCAGCAACCCAGCCACTCCTTGGGGAAGGAGGGAAGAACACCATTTGCTAGCCTCCCGCTTGCTACGGAGACAGGCACTTCCTATCCTGCCATCTCCCTTACTTCCTGTACAGTCTTCTCCTGGCAAACACTGCTGCCTTTCCTTCCCCAGAAATGCTCCACCCTGGCCCTGAGTGTTTGTGTGTCTGGCTTTGTACCCGACCCCCAACCCCCACTCCCCACCTCCAGGCTGCTGCGCTGGTAAAGCCCAAGATAATGTTACATTTGGTGTACAGTTCCAGCCTGTCCTCCAGCAAGTCCTGAGCCAGAGGAACCACAATTAGCAATTAGTTGATCAATGCCCTCATCCCAGAGTCAAAAATACTGTCCTAGAGGAAGTTAGACGTGAACTCTAATACTTTAGAGCAAGTGATCTCAAAGTATGATCCAGAGACCAGCTCTCTGAGGAAGTCCTCGAGGTCAAAACTATATTCATAATACTAACATGTCCCTTGTCGGTTTTTACAATCATTCTCTCACCAGCATATAGGGAAGCTTCCAGAAGTTTCCTGAAATGTGATGACATCACTGCTCTCAGTGAAATGGAGTGTGTGTCTGTATCTCCATGTTTCAGAAACACGTTAACCTTGATTTATAACATGGCGAGCATCACAAGACGAAAGAACAAAAGCTCTTCAGGTCCCTCAGTTTGGATAAAGGGATCAGAGACCAAACAGTTTGAGCATTGATGCTTGATGGCAAAAATGTTAGGGGTCAGAGAGGAAGAGGGGAGTGGGAGGAGAGAAGAGGAGGTGTGAGGAGAGGAGAGGGGAGACAAGGGGCAGGGAAGAGGAGAGGGGAGGGGGGACAGGGAGGAGGACCAGGAGGACAGAGGGGGCCTGGAGAGAATGAGTGAGGAGAGAGAGAAGCAGAGTATTGGCTATGTAGAGAGAGCCTTTCTCGGAAAATACGAATTCTGTAAGATATTGACAGCAGCTGGGCATGGTGCGCATGCTTCTAATCCCAGTCTTAGGAAGTGCGGAAACAGGATCAAGAGTTCAAAGCCAAGCCCCCGCGGTGGTGGTGCATGGCTTTAATCCAAGGATGCAGAGGCAGGCAGATCTCTGTGAATTCTTCCAGGCAGGATAGCAATGCTACACAAAGAAACCCTGTCTCGAAAAACCAACCAAACAAACAAACAAAAAACCAAAAAACCAAAAAAGCTGGTCTTAGTGGTTGTACACCTTTAATCCAGTCCTTAGGAGAAAGAGGCAGGCAGATCTCTGTGAGTTCGAGGCTAGCCTGATCTATAGAGCAAGTTCCAGGACAGCCAGGGCTACACAGAGAAACCCTGTCTCAAAAGCAAAACAAAACAAACAAAACACACACACACACACACACACACACAAAATTAAACAAAAAAAGAGTTCAAGGCCAGCCCAGTCTGTAGAAGGGGTGGGAGTGTGGAGGAAGAGATGGGAGGAGGGAGGGAGGAAGGGAGAGACAGAACGGAAGAGGCCCAGAGAGTGATAGAAGGAGAAAGGACGACTAGAACTAGAAAGGCCCAAGAACTAGGATTTTCGAGGGACTCAACACACCGCTCTGCCCTTCCCCAACCTCCTCATACTGGGTGTCAAGCCTAAACTGTTACAAGTCACAAAACAAGTCAGTGCACATCAAATAAACCTTTGTATCATGCCTCCCAGCTGCGCAGGGTGGCCAAGTGGAAGCGAGGGCTGGTGGTGGCCTGGCGGCCATGGCCCTCAAGTCAGGACGGAAGGCAGCAGGTGTGGCTGGGATGGAGTTCAGTGGGAATGTGGTGGCCCAGCATGTACAGGCAGCGGGTTCTAGGTTCTGAGTTTTGCTTTGTTTTTGAAGATGACAGATGACCTTCTGTGTAGTTGATTCACCAAGGTCAGGGGATCTTCAGTTCTCCGACTGATGACCTCAATCTGGGAGAGCCATCTTCTGTTCCACGTACCAGCTCTTAGCCACGGGCATGCTCACTCCATGGCTTCCTATGTACTGGAGCAGGGTCCTCTGCATAAAAGCCCGAGCCCATGGCTCTTACAGCAGCACTCTATCTCCTCTACCCCTGCTTACACGCTTGCTTTCTTCTGCACACTGGGACTGGAATGGCTTCAAAGTCCCAAGTTCCCAGCCCACCTCCCTCAAATGGACACCCTAAGCCTTTGAGGCTGGCCCAAGCCTACGCTAGGACACTGCGTCCTTTCAGAGGGCTGAATCCTGGGGGCACTGGATGACGGGCGTTCCCAGATTGGCGGGCTGGAGTAGACCCTGACTGGTGGCATCCAGCCCAGTGTTTTGGGTGGTTTCTGAGGGTGGTTCGGTGAGCACCCCTCTAGCCCCATTGGTAGCCAAAGGCCTGGTATGGAGCGGGGTGCCCAGGTTGCGAAGGGTGTTTCGGAAACCCTCAGCACTGAAGTAGTACACCAGCGGATCCAGCACGCAGTTGGCGCCGGCCAGCAGCACCATCACCATCAGCACACCGCGCACCTGATCGCGGGCCTGAGGGCTGGATTCCACCAGGTCGGCTCGCAGCAACCCATACACTGCCAGCGTGGCGTTGTAGGGCACGAAGCACAGCAGGAAGATGACGAGATTGATCAGCAGGAGGCGCACGGTCTTCTGTCGCCGCTGGCTCTGGGTGGCGTCGGGCCTCGCCAACGTCCAGAAGACCCGGCCCGACGAATAGACGACAGCGGCCAAGGGCAGCAGAAAGCCCAGTGTCTCGGCCAGCAGTAGGAGCGGCAGCAGCCCGCCCTTCCACAGCTCATCGCTGAAGCTCTCGAAGCACAGGCTCACGGTGATGTTCTCGTGCCTGCAGGTGGACGGGCTGTGCACGCGGACGGCGGGCACGGCGAACAGCAGGATGAGCGCCCAGACGCCCAGGCAGAGCCGCCGCGCCACGCGGGGCCGCCGCAGGTGGCGCAGTCGCAGCGGGTGCACGATGGCGGCATAGCGGTCCACGTTGATGAGCATCAGAAAGATACAGCTGCCGTACATGTTCATCTGGAAGATGGCGCCCGACGTCTGGCATAGGAAGTCCGGGAAGGGCCAGTGGTGCCGTGCGTAGTAGGAGAGGCGCAGGGGCAGTGACAGGGTGAAGAGCAGGTCGCTGGCTGCCAGGTTGCACATGTACACGCTCACCACCGAGTTTACACGCAGCACACGCACAAAGACCCAGAGAGCCAGAGCATTGAGAGGGAGACCAGTCGCCAAGACCAGGCTGTAGACCACCATATGCAGACGATGTGTACCCCGATAGTCACGGCACTGGGGTACAGAGCTGTTGGTAGAAGAGGCATTGGCTGAAGAGTTGGCAAACATCGTGTCCAAGTGGGAAGAGAAACTAGGCTGAGGCATCATGGGGAATACTAAGGTCCGAGCATGGCGTTCACCTCCAGGGTGGTAGCCTGGTGGCTATACAGAGTCTGTCCCAAAGCAAGCAGAGGCAAGACATGGGAGTGTGGTCTGTGACCTCAGGGGCAGATGATTGGCCAAGGCTGGACGCCTTTGGGGCCACAACTTCAGCTGTGGAGACCTGGAATTGGAAGGCAAACCAAAAGTAAAGTTACTAGAGGCAGAACCGTAGTCTAAATGCTTACCTAACCTGACTGGCCTCTTTTCTCAGCCTCAAGGCTCTTCACTCCATCTTTCCCTATTCTTCAGTCAGACTGGCTTTTTCTTGCTTCTCTCTATCATCCAGCGCCATGCCCAGCTCCTGCAGTCATGGATTCCAGGCAGGCTATGCATGAGTGCTGGCTTTGTCACTTGCCTAGCTTTGTGACCTCAGAGAAGTCATTCTCTCTGAATTTTGCTTTCCTTATCTGGGTACATGTGAAGGAGTTTGCCCTCTTCTTCAAGACACTGTTTGGACGTTAAGTAAGATTAAAATGCTTCATTTGCAGTTCTTAGAACCTGCCTCCCCTCCTTCCCTTAAATGCTTACTGAATCCTTAGAAGGTTCCAGCAAGTTCCGGCAATGCACAAAACAAAGGCCTTGTCCCACCCACCTACTTCACATTCCATTAGAGGAAAACCAACAAACCACACAAATAGGTCTGACTAGTGGGGAGAAGGGCTATGGAGCCAGGACTGGTGCCCTATTATCTAAGGAATAAAGTTCAGACTCTCAAGTCCAGAACAAAATCCCAGGCCTGTTCATCATATTCACCTTTTCCCTTGTGGGCTGGGTTTGGTCAGAGAGATCCAGCTGGATTCAGCTTGACTGACCCAGCCCTCCATTTCTTCATCTGTAAAATGGGAAGAAGAATGTACTGGTGTACTCCAAGGCAGTTGCCATCAGCTTTGGCCAAAGGCACATTAAGAGCACTTTAGCATTTCCTTCAGAAAGGTGGGGGAAGGCCCCAAGGCAGTGGTTCTCAACCTTCTAATGCTGCAGCCCTTTAACACAGGTTCCTCATGTTGTGGTGACCCCCCCCCACAACCATAAAATGATTTCATTGCTACTTCATAACTGAAATTTTGCTACTGTTATGAATCATAATGTAAATATCTGATATGCAGGATATAATATACTACCCACAAAGGGGTCATAAACTGAGAACCACTGCCCCAAGGGCTGAGCTTCCCCAGGTATTTCCTGTGTGAACCCTCCTTACTAAGCCATGCTGCACTCCTACAAGAGAACTAATTGATGTACCAAGGACAGCCAAGAGGTAGAAAATGGACAAGGGAGGGTCTTAGAGCCTCGCCTTCCTCATGTGCAAGAGGTCACAGGAGTCACCTCTCAATCCCTGCCTCATATACACACAATTGTGCGTGTATGTGTGTGTGTGTGTGTGTGTGTGTGTGTGTCTGTGTGTGTGTGTGTGTGTGTGTTAGAATAAATATAACTTACTCTTTGCAATTTTTTTATTTTTGAGACAGGGTCTCATGTAGCCTAGGCTGGCATTGAACTTGCTGTGTAGTTGAGGCTAGCCTTGAACTCCTGAACCTCTTGCCCCAACTTTCCAAGTGCTGGGATTATAGGTGTGTGCCACCATCCTTAGCTCCATTTTCACTTTTTACATTTTATTTTGCTTTTCTTTCTAGAGACACAATCTGACTATGCTGCCCAGGCTGGCCGGCCTGAGTTCTAGGGTTGAAGATCTCTCTGCCTCAGCTGGGAATGCAGATGTCTCTCACTGCAACCGGCTCTAACAGCATTTTATTTATTTTCATTTTATTTTATTTTTTTTTTTTTTATTTTTTTTTTTATTTTTTTTTATTTTTTTTTTATTTTTTTTTTATTTTTTTTTATTTTCATTTTAAAAGAGATTTTATTTTAAAATACTTATCTTTAAATTTTATGTCTATGAGTGTTTTGCTTGAATGTTTGGATGTGCATCATGTGTGTGTCTGGTGCCTTTGGAGACTAGAAGAAGACATCAGGCCCCCTGGACCTGGAGTAACAGGTAGTGAGCAGCCATGTGGGTGGTGGTAGCTGAACCACAGTCCTCTGCAAGGGCGACAGATGCCTTTAACCTCGAGCCACCTCTCTGTTGTTTTGTTTGTTTTGTTTTGTTTTGTTTCAAATACAGGGTTTCCGTGTGTAGTTCTGGCTGTCCTGGAACAGAATCTCTCTGTGTAACCCTATCTGGTCTGGAATTCACTATGTAGACTAAACTGGCCTCGAACTCACAGAGATCCTCCTGCCTCTGCCTCCCGAGTGCTTCTCAGTGTGCACCACCTGGCTCTCCAGGTCCTTGTTATTATTGTTTTAATTGTGTGTATTTGTGTGGTGTGGTGTGTGTGTGTGTGCATTCAGTGCAGTGACCGAGGAGGCCAGAATCCAGGATCTCCTGGAGCTGGAGTTAAAGACAATTATGAGACACTGACATGGGTTCTAGGAACAAAACTCGGGTCCTCTGGAAGAGCAGCCAGTGCTCTTAACCTCTGAGCCATCTCTCTAGCCCCAAGGCCCAGCATTTCAATAAATAAATTAGCTTACGGCACTAAGTTGTAAGCCTGACTATATCAAATTTATGGAGGCTTTTTTTGTTCTCTCTCTAGCAACCAGCATCTCAAGATTTGTCGGAAGCATAGTGAAACAGTTAAAAGGGAATAAATATTTCCTCCATAAAATACCAACTTCGAGAATGAAAATACAGTCAGCCCTCCATGTGTGGGTTCCAGAATGAAAATACAGTCAGCCCTCCATGTGTGGGTTCCGTGCATACAATATATGTTCAAGTAACCTCAGAGAAAATAAGTGTTTTTAAAACTATGCATCTGGGCTGGGTGGTAGTGGTGCACACCTTTAATCCCTGCACTCGGGAGGCACTGAGGATCTCTTGAGTTTGAGGCCAGCCTGGTCTACAGAACGAGTTCCAGGGCAGGCTCCAAAGCTACACAGAGAAAGAAATCCTGTCTTGAAAACCAAAATAAATAAATAAATAAAAATATGCATCTGGCCAGGCATGGTGGCATACTTGGTAGACAGATGCAGGATCTCTGTGAGTTCAAGGGCAGCCTACATAGCAGGTTCCAGATCAGTCCCAACCAGATCTGTCTTTTTTTTTTTTTTCCCCCAAATGGATCTAAAGTTGGGCTTGATAGTTGATGTCTGTAGTCCCAGCATTTAAAAGGCTAAACCAGCTGGGCGGTGGTGGCACATACCTTTAATCCCAGCACTCTGGAGGCAGAGCCAGGCAGATCTCTGTGAGTTCGAGGCCAGCCTGGTCAGGCATCAAAACTACCCAGAGAAACCCTGTCTCGAAGAAAACCAAAAAAAAAAAGGCTAAACCAGGGGCCAGAGAAAAGGCTTGGTGGTTAAGAGCACTTGCCGCTCTCGCAGAGGATGTGGGTTGCCAGCACCCACACGATGGGATTACAGCTCCAGTCTCAGGGGCTCCAATGCCCTCTTCTGAGGTCCGTGGATCTCAAGCACACACATGGTACACATACATATATGCAAGCCAAACACTCACACATGACATAAAATGAATAAATCTAAAAATGCTTTTAAAGGCAAGAGCAGCAGGAAATTGAAGCCAGCTTGGGCTGCAGTGTGTGTGAGGCCCTGGAGAGAGAAAGAGAGAGGAAGAGAGACTGTTGCATCTGAGCCAGGCTTGGTGACCCTGTCTGTAAACACAGCACTTGAGGGGCAGAGGCCAGCCTGGGCTACTTGAGACCCTGTCTCAAGAAAAGGCCAGGTGTGGAGCCTCACACTTGTAATCCCAGCATTTAGGAAGATTGTCAAGAAGACTGTCTAGGTTACAGAGTGAGCCTTTGTCTCAAAAGCAAAGCCAACCGAACAGATTTCATCTAGCTGCTTGGGATGCTGAGGCAGGATTATCACTTGAACAGTGAGGTTAAAAGCAACTGTGGAAACACAGCAGGACCCCATCACAGAAAAAAAAAGTGTCTGTCTTGAATATATATATATTCCCCTTGTCATTTTTCCCTCAAAAACTACAGTATGGAAGCAGTTACAAGGTCTAGCATGGTGGTAATCACAGATCTCAGGAAGCTGAGGCAGGAAGATCCCAAGTTCAAGGCCACCCTGGGCTATAGAGGAAGACCCTATATCAATGAGTTCAAGGCCAGCCTGGTCTACACAGAAAATTTCAGGACAGCCAGAGCTACATGAAGAGATTCTGTCTAAAACAAAACAACAAACAAACACAAACCTTTTTTAAAAAAGTATTTGCTGCTTTTCAAAAGGATCTAGGTTAGATTCCCAGCACCAACATGCAGCTCACAACTGTTTGTAACTCCAGTTTCAAGGTATCCAATGCCCTCTCTGGCTTCCATGGGCAGTGCACACATGTGGTACACAGTCACACATGCAGGCAAAACATCCATACACATAAAATAAAAATAAATCTTAAAAAAAAAATTTAAAGTAGGGTGTGGGGCACAGGCCTGTAATTCCAGAGGCTGAGGCTGTACAATAGGCTGGACTTATATAGGGAAATATAATAGGCTTATATAATATGCAATATATAGGATTATATAGGGAAACCCTTTTCAAAACACAAATGCAGGAGGAGTGTCTGCGTGCGTGTGTTCACGCGCATGCACACATACAAAGAGAAAGTGGAATAAAAACAACAAAAATCTATTTATATTGTATTGCATGGGTTATAAGCAACCTAGAGATAGACAGTTTATGGGGAGAAGGGAGGACACAGGGTCTCAGGTGACCTAGACCGCCCAAAACTGAGTAGCCAAGGGTGGCCTTGAACTCCTGCTCCTCCAGCTTCTATCTCCCAAGTGCTGGGGTTACAGGCAGGTAGTACCTGACCTGGGCTTGGAGACAGACAGGACAATATGTGTATGATCTGGCATCTGAAGGGGTCGGAGATACTAGTATCCCACAGATACTGATACTAGTTACCAAACCAGATGCCACCCCTCACCCCATGTCCTCTGTCAGCGAGTTCTGCACATACCCTGTGCTTTCAGGTCTCTGCCTTGGCAGCTGGGTGTCTTCAACCTGGAATGTCCTTCCCCTCATTCGCTGCCTGATGAACCCGGTCATTTTACACGAGGCTGTTGGACCCCCTTCCCGTCTCTGTCTTCCTCAGCAGGGCAG